TCTGCGTCGTGGGCCATATATGTGGAAGCCAGCCAAATAGACATTCCGCCTGATTCCACTGCTATGATGACGTTGTCCGCATCGCTAAACTGTATCAAGAGAAATGCATTAATACACTTTTTTATCAATATGCACGACCTGGGTTTACCTTTGTCAGTTACATAGAACAGCTTGTATCCCTTCATATTCAATCCACAAACCCGATCTTTTATGACCCAAGGCTCCTGGATGAGTGCGATCTCCTCTTCTCTTTCGGCGAGACGGAGGAGAAGTGCGGCTGAGGCCGCCTTGCAGTGGTGGAGATTAATCTGAACTATCCCCACCATCAGTTTCGCGTGCTGCTGCTGGACAGCCAACCACAGTCCGGTTGACGTCCTCTTCGTCAGAAAGGGGGAGGATGACTCATATAGTGCAAGAAATTTCCGCCAAAATACTTTTTACTTAGAAAATTGAGCTAATTTCACCATTAACGACATCAGCATGCTGGTACAATCACACCACAAGAACATACACGGTCAATCGACTTGATGGGTCATTTAACAAATTTAGCATATTAAGGGCCGTGAACTTATCTATTTTAAACTATAGTTAAATCGTTAACAGATATGTTAACAGCCCCAATACTTTTACAGTATGTATTTATAAAAGCGTAAGGAACATACAATACATATATGTATATATATCTGTCTTTCTTAGTTTAAAAATTCATCTCATACATAAATGCAAAAAAAAAAACAAATTAAGCATATACAACTTTTTCATGCCAAGGATGAATAAATTCTAAAAAAGGCTAAAAAAAGGGCTAGGGGCAATTTTAAATTTATGTGGCCAAAAAAAGTATGGGGTAGCTAAATCTAGCTACCAGAGGGCTAAAACGGCACACTGGTTATTACTAAAAATCGACAAGTGAGAAAAGCTGCCGTGAATGTCACATGTGTGTTACGATTGGCCCAATGGATGTGATTTGCCAATATTATTATGCGTTAAATCTTCATTCGGAGACACCAGGGTTCAGTTGTGCAGTGGTAAATCTCAAATAACCACCTGTCTAAATACCATAAAAGCCAGTTTCATGAAAGCAATTTAATAAAAATTTATTTTTTTAATTGAATTTAATATAGAACCTTACAGAAAAAAAATCATTTTTCATTTAAATTGCTTTCGTGAAACTGGCTTTTAAGGTATTTCATTTCACCTACCTACGCAAGAACCGCATTAACAAAAATATGATTTGACTCAACACATATTTCTTTCAAGCATTTATACCTGTGTTGTTATAGCGCACTCGCTGAAACCGTATTCAAAAGTAAACAAAAGTAAATATTTTTATTCGACATTTTTTAAATTATTAATTGGCGCAGTGGACCGAAATGAAAGAGAACAAGAATTCAAATTTGTTATAATAACAATTCAAATTTAAAACGGGCTGTATAAAGAAAACCAGCCCTTTTTCACTTCGCGTCATATGAGTGATGTGTTTATACCTGTTTTCTAACCGATGTGAGAAATAAAAAAACGATTTGAAAACAAATTTGAGTCAAACACTTTTGAATTTCTGAGCGTATTGAAAGTTGGTTTATGCTTCCGTTTCGAATCACAGCGAACTGGGACAAAGCACTTTTTGTGTTGGTATAAACAAGGTATATGTACCCAGATAGCAGAGAAACGTACTTTTTACTGACAGTGCAGTTTTCGTACATTTTTCGTATCCGGAAACGTTCAGAAAACGGTTTCCATATTTGTTCATTTTTCGGATCCGAAAAATGTCATCTTATTTCAAAACAATAATTTTAAAATATTTGTTCAAACTGAGCATTTGAAAACTTGTATACGTATTCGCCAGTAGCTGAGTGTGCAGAGAAGTGTGCTACTATTTGTTAGCTTTCAGGAGGTCCCAGGTTCGCATTCCGTCAGAAGCAACACATTAAAATTAGTAATTCAAATTGAAATAATTGCTGAATCTTAAATTTGTTTTTTGTTTGGTTTCCTGTAACTATGAAAAAGTTTCTGTGAAGTTCATAATGAAATCGTTTTCAACGAAAAATTGAATCAGACAAATTTCAGGAAAATAGGCTAAAGCGCATCCGTTTTACAACCATTTTCGATAGTTTTCTGCACATACGTTTCGGGTGAACACTTTAGTGGGAGAACTGATCTGAAAAACGTCCGAAAACGGTATCCTAAAACGGATGAAACATCAAGTTTTTGTACGAAATTGTTTCCATTTTCGGATATGTTTCCGGATATTTTGGTGGCTGGATATGTATATTGCATTTCTGTTGAACGAGGTTATCCATCCATTTTGAAAATGCCACCAACTGTAAAATAAAGTTTCTAGGGCACATTCACTATAGATCCGCATCATTGTTGACACCAGGGAACTTCTCATGGACATAACACTTTCGTTCGGTTATTTAAGGCGGCAAACGACCACCAATCCATAGTCTTAACCGATGAATATGCCAGTACAAATCGTAAATGTGGATTGTTGGAGAAACTGTTAGACCAAACTGTTTAAATTAGAAATCTAATTTTGGGCGGGACGAAGTTCGCCGGTTCTGCTAGTTATTTAATAAAGTTAAATGAATTATTAAAAGGGTATCTGCCGAAATGGGTTTGGAAAGGCTTTATTTCTGAACTTAAGTAATCAATTATTTAAAATTTGTCTCCCAATGTCAGACGAAAGAGATTTAAGTTTAAACATACTTTTGGAAATGTTTATCAAATTTTTGAAGAGGGTTGTCACCTGTTTAAAACGTTGAATTCAACTTTGAATACGGGAATAGAGAAATAAAAAGTTTCACTTCAGCTGCGCGTGTGATCCACACACAACTTTTTTTTTATTTGTAGACTTCGATGACGTGTTGATTGTGTAGATCTTTAATAAGTTATTTCTTCCTCTGGCGTATCTGATTTCTGAAGAACTAGAAGAATGTCAAAATCATTAAGAATATCTTTTTACCAACTTATAGGCCTAAATATTACTATTTTAAGTTTAAGGTCTCTTATATATGTATGTATGTATATAGTATGTATGTAGTTTAAACTTTGCTAAACTCACAAATACACAATCTAAGCTTAGCATCAGTTTTCGAAATTATGTATCTTTAATATTTTGCTTTGTCTTTAACTGTTATTAGGTCTTCGGCGGAGGAGGACAACAAATGCTGGACCATAATGTTAAAAAGATACTCGAAAAAGGTTTTAGCGAAGAAGACGCTAAGCAGGCTCTGCGTGCTACCAATAATAACCTGGAACGAGCGCTATACAATCTCAAGCGCCGTGGTGAGAGTAAACGAACAGAAGAGATCGGAAGTGCCAAAAATTTACAAGTTACCACCTATTCTTCTGCAAAGAACGGTCGAGGTCCGCCAGTGCGAGATATTGGAAAACGTGGTGGCTCAATGACAAAAGAAGAAACGGTTGTGGCGAAACCGGCTGGAAATGTGTCACTTTTCGATTTTTTGACTGACAAGCTCCCTGTAGATGCAGCAACGAATGTGCTTACAACAGCCAATACTGCATCTATACCGCATACTACGTCTAACGTTTCCACCAATCCTTTGAAATCAGGTAAATTCGATAGAAATAAAAAAGAGGCGTCGAAATCTACACATACAGACAGTAAGCATGCGGAGGACAATGTTGACCCGAATAGTGTTTTACGACCAAGGTTTGAAAATAATATGTCCAGCAGTTTCGCGGCTAATCGTTCCACCGGGCTACCAAATGCTCGTCAAAGGACCGATCGTGCTTATAATCGGGGCGGTCGAAGTAGTCACGAACGAGGCAGAAGTACATCAACCTTTAATCCATTTAAACACAATGGCAATGAACGTGTTAACGACACTGCGCGTGGGTCTGGCAGTCAGACTATAAATAATAACCATAATCTAAACCAAGGACGTATTAATCGCGGAAACTATGAACGGGGAAAGGGTTTGAATCCTTTAAGCGGTGGGTTTCAGGAAAATGGAACCAGTGGTTATGCCAGCAAGCGGGCAAATGAAAGGCAACAACAAAGAAGTCATGGTGGGGAAGAACGTAGCAGCGGTGGTCAGAATGAAAGCAGGAATCGCTTTAATAGCAAACGTGAGAACAGTAATCGTCAACAAAATAATAATATAGATAATAAAAATAGCGCTGCCGCCAAAAATTCTGGCGCTCAAAACTCAAATTCCAATAATGCAAATCCAATGCATAAATTAATAGAAGCTACTTCTAAAATAAGATTATCAGATCCCGTACGTAATGATCCTCATTTAACGGGAAATAGCTCGATTGCCGACGGTCGTTCGAATTTGCATGATTCCCAATTTGTTGCACAAGCTCAAGGAGGCGCTCAGCTGGCAAACCAAATCCAAAGTTCAACACAATTGCCTAAAGGTTATGGTTATGATACAAGTAAAATTATCGGATTTCAAAATAAAGAAACAAATGAATTTGCTTTGACTTTGTTAAAAAGTCAAGGCCTAGGCTCTTCTGAGTCAACAATATATAGTCAACAGCAACGAAATTTAGTTTCGCCAAATATAGATAATCCCGGCTCCCAACCAAATCTACATATTTCTAATGAAAGTTATATTTCGCATGTACCGCCCCATATACAAGCCCCACCTCAGCTAAGTGGGTATGCTGCACCTATAAATGAATATTCATCACTAAATCCATCTACAGTAGGCACTATAGCGGCAGTTCAGACTCATTTTGGAATGATACCAGGTGAGGGCTGGGATTGGAAAGTTGGAGATCTTTGTTTCGCCAAATACTGGGATGATGGTCGTGTAAGTGTATTATTATTGTAATTGCGTACCGATTTCAAGTGAACCCAACTTCATATATTAATTAGTCACGTTTTCCGCCAAAAAACAAAAAACTATAAAGTGAATCTACAAAAGCAATATCGCTAGCTTAAAGTGAAATGTTACTAAGTAAAATTTTTATGAAAAGTCATATTTTGATATAAGAAGCAAGATATATTAAAAATGCATCGTCTCGAAAGAGTTTAGGGTACCTGTTTTATTTTTTCTTGCTTGCATTAAATCAGACATCGGCACATTTGCCCGTATGGACTTTTTGCCCGTACGGGCAAGGGAGCCCATTTCGCGGGCTAGATCAGGGGAAAATCATGGGCAAACATGAAGGGGACAACGAATCTTACTAATACACGTATACCAATGAGAGCCACTGCACACGCATTCTGGAGTAAAAAGGCCAACTCTCTCAAACGTACGCCACATACACTCCTCGTCATTTTAATAGCTCAACTTTTTAATCCTTAGTATTTACATTTTTATTTTATTTATTTAATATTCATTACATCCGATTTTAAAACTTTATACAGAGTTAAAAAAATGTCAACAAAGGGGTACAATAAAGTGCAAGCTTCAAATGTCTGTAAAATAGCGGTGATTTTTGACAAATTTTTGGTAATGGTGCTTCGCATTTTCTCTCATACAAAGTATGCTCGATAAAATTTTTATATGGAATAAAATGCGCAGCACCGTTAATAAAAAATAAAAAAATTTCAAAAATCAAGGCTATTTTAGAGTAACTTTATTAGACTATAATTTAATGGGCTACAAATCTGCATATCCGAAATTTTTCTAAAAATATTACTAACTATTCACTGCTGGTCATTAGGATGGCACACTCCTATGTTGACCTTTTTTAAAATCTGTTTACAGCTCTCAAGAAAACGAAAAAATCATATAAAATTATGCCCAAGAAATGGAAAAGAAATCTTCTTTTAAGTTTTAATTTGTAAAAAAAATTTAAAATTGCATTTACCCGTAGAATATGCCATATTTTTATAAAAAATTTATATTAAATAAACGAAAGGAAAACTGTGAATACTAAGGATTGAAAGGGTGTGCAATTCAAATGACGAGGAGTGTATATGAGCAGATGTGATCACTACCCCAAGTAAACGCGAGCTGAAAGTGTGATTGTGTTAGTATGCCAATTGCGTTTGAATGATTTTGCGTTCACTTTGCATGTATACGCATGTAATGCTTACGCTCTTTAAGCGGGCGCTCACTCTCTGTCCATGCTTGTATATGAGAAAATTTGATATCGCTATTACTGTTGCCAACTTTGTGCGCAATAAATTAGGTGCGTTTAGGGCATTAAAACGTGAAATTTTTTTAGTTTAGCGCTTGTTTCGTTCTTTGGTTCTTTTCTTTATTTAAAAAAGCACCAAACACTGAAAATAGCGCAATTTTCCCAAAAGAAATACCAAATTTGTGTTGCTGTGTTTAATGGTATTTGTGCATATAAAGTTGTATATCAAATATTTTAAGTAATCACGCAATGTCACTTGTAAATATTTCCAACTATGCGCAGTTAATTAATTTAATTAGTAAAATGTTTTTTTTTTTTTTATTCGTAAAACAATTTGCAAAACTGTACTTGGTTTCTCTAGCGGCTTTATTTTCATGCAATTGCTTACTTTTGTACAAATGCGCACACCCAGCTAATATGGTAGACAGACGGAGAAAATTAATTTGAATTAATAAGCATAAATGCAAATTAAAATTTTACCCATACAGACGGCAGTAATGCGAATAAACCAGCCGCAAGGTCGTGGGTTCGAGTCCCACGGCCAGTATACTTTTTTTATTTCTTTTTCATTCTTTTTTTTATAAGTTCTATATTTTTTTACGTTACTTTCAGTTAGTTGTTGTTGAATTTTTAACAAAATTCATCTCTAAAAATTAAAATTAACTAATAGTAAAATAAGAAATGTGATATAAAATAAAGCAAATGAAAATAAAATAAAGTTAAATTAAATATATAAATAAAATGAAATAAAAAAATATAAAATAAATAATAAAAACAAAAAGTTTTTTCGCAATCGCCCCAACCGAGTATCGAACCTGGCATCTACAGGCTTGTAGCTCGCAACTCTCACCACTCGGCTACCGCGTACGCTAAACTCGACTGCTTGGTTTGCTTACTTGTACAAAAGACAACAACTGGCCGTTTTTACCAGTGTTGTCATCGAAAATTCCCCGGATCCGAGTTAATTCCCAAAAATTTCGTGCATTTGTTCGGCTGCTTATGCTCATTTTAAAGAGGAAAATGCATGAGTTAAAGCAAATTAAGGCTGGTTATGCAAATAATCGAGCCCGTTTGTCTACCGTATAATTTGCAGAATATTTTATGAATTCCGTGATAGAGACTGTGTGAAAATATTGCGTTTGGATTATCTAGGAGCATATTATCCAGAGGAGAAGCTCGGCCAAACACTAACATATGTGTAAAGGATTGGCTCAATGTAGGCTTGCTTTGCTTGCTTCGCTTTGAAAATTGTCAAACAGTTTTTGAACTCTACTAAAATGTATGAAAGTTGGCCAAATGGTAGCTTCACTTCACTTGCTTGAAGCGCTTCAAAGTTTCAAATAGCCAAATCTCTATTTGACAACGCTTTGCAGGCTTTTGACAATGAGATATGTTTTCGTGATAAATGAATTCAAGCAAATTGCTAAAGGTTTTTTTTAAACAAAATGTTGTTTAACTAAAAATGCTGCAAGGATGTACATACATATATACATATGTACTTGTAAATAAATGTCTTAATTTAAAAAAGTGTTGCCGAAAAATGTAAGTAATTCAACGTTAAATAAAAGTGATTATTCTCTTTCTATATTTGTATTAAACGTATGTATATGCTATAGAAGCCGTGCAATAAGCAATAATAACTACTCATCAATAGTTCCGTGAAAAAGCGCCTTTATGAGTTAAGAGTTTTTTATATGTAAATGAGCTGGTATAATTATTTCATTATTATCTTTTCCTTGAAATCAAAAAAAAAAATTATAATTCACATTAATTTCAAAATAATTCTGAAAAGATTAGAAGCTAAGACGATGTTCCTATTATTATTTTTTAATTAATTTTATTATTAATTCATGTTGTATTTTGAAGGAAATTTGTAATGTAAATGGAACAGACTTTAATTTCGCAACCACACAGCTGATTGCTTTGACAGCGTTCCAAGCTACATTTTGCCAAACAAGCTTTTCAAGTAAATTAAAGCAAAATGAAGTCAGTAAGGCCAGCAAAGCAAGCCTACATTGGGCCAGCACCTTAAGTCAACAGATAAAGTTTTCCGTACGTTCGGAATGAATAAATGTATGAACAAAATAAATACAATGTCACCATAGAATCACGTTTTTATTATAAAATTACCTTGAAAAGGGCACCAAAGAACGAAACAAGCGCTAAACTAAAAAATGTTCACGTTTTAATTCCCTAAACGCACTTAATTTATTGCGAAAGGCACAAAGTCGGCAACAGTTATAGCGATGTCAAATTTTCTCATATACAAGCACGGACAGAGATTGAGCGCCTGCTTAAAGAGCGTAAGCATTAAATGCGTATACATGCAAAGGGAACGCAAAATCATTCAAACGTAATTGGCACACTAGCTCAATCACACTTTCAGCTCGCGTTTACTTGGGGTAGTGATCACATCTGCTCATATACACTCCTTGTCATATGAATTGCACACCCTCTCATCCTTAGCATTCACAGTTTTCCACTCGTTTATTTAATACAAATTTTTTGTAAAAATATAGCATATTCTACGGGTAAATGCAATTTTAAATTTTTTTACAAATTAAAACTTAAAGGAAAATTTCTTTTCCATTTCTTGGGCAGCATTTTATATGATTTTTCATTTTCTTGAGAGCTGTAAACAGTTCTTAAAAAAGGTCAACATAGGAGTGTGCCATCCCAGCAAACAATTAGGTTTGGTATACATTTGAGAATGATTTGAAATTAAAGCCTTTCTCAAATGTCAAACGTTTGAAACTGATTTGATATTGATTTGAAAATTACAGCTTCCTCAATAAAAAGGGGAGTTTGATCTTCATTTGAGAATATGGTTAACTCTCAAATCAATTTCAAAGGTTATTTATCAATTATACTTCAAATGTGGAAATAATATTTATTATAGGAAATGTATATTTCATATTTATTTTTTCTTCGCGATGTACATATATATGTACATAACAAAGGAAACAATCAAGAGTAATAATAAGTAATTTATAATAAATTCGTCTTGAAGGGATGCAGCTTCTTCAATCCGCGCAAACATCAACTCCACTATTTGTGGGCTTTCTCTTTGGAAATTTTTTTTCTATTCATTGTTTTTTTGTTCAATTGATCTTATTTTTTTTCTTACAATTTTCGATTTAACTGCGGATTTTTATATCGTTTGACACTTGCCATCTTTCTTCAAATCAACCTCGAATGAATTTCAAATGTAAAATTTAAACCTTTTTCAATTTGAGAATCATTCGAGAAAAACATTTGATATCAAATTGAGAAATACATTTTTCTCAAACGTTTGAAACTGTGTTTGCTGGGATCCTAATGACCTGCAGTGAATAAGTTAGTAATATGTTTAGAAAAATTTCGGATATGCAGATTTGTAGCCCATTCAATTATAGTGTAATAAAGTGCAAGTTTCAAGTGACTCTAAAAGAGCCCTGATTTTTGAATTTTTTGTTTGTTTTTTATTGACGGTGCTGCGCATTTTATTCCATATAAAAATTTTGTCGAGCATACTTTGTATGAGAGAAAATGCGCAGCACCATTACCAAAAATTTGTCAAAAATCACCAATATTTTACACACTTGAGACTTGCACTTTATTGTACCCTTTTGTTGAAATTTTTTTAACTGTATAAATTTTTAAAATCAGATTTAATGAATATTAAATAAACAAAATGAAAATGTAAATACTAAGGATTAAAAAGTTGAGCTATTCAAGTGAC